CTACGAAAAAACCGAAATAAAATAAATCCCGCGAGAGTGCGAATCCCATCCCAGTTTTATTGCTGTCATTTGAGTCTCAAACAGAAGTTTTCCAGCTTTTCGACTTTTACCTAAGAAAGTTTAAGAAGTTCATAATAAAAAAAGTTCTACTTCCACAATCACATGCCAACATTGGCGCCAAATCTAAAATTTTCCAAGGAGGAAAAAGGACAATGGCGGGAGCAGAATCAAGCGATACACCACGGTTATCTCTATTTTAAGTCGCATACGATCCATATTCAGGATATATAAGCCTAGGAGCTTATTTTAAAAAGCGTATGAAATTGCCACTACCACCGGTTTAGCCGTTTTATGATATTTACTTTAATAAACAGACAAGAGGATTTTCCAGCAGTGGTAAGCACTTTGTACAAGTGTCCTCCGGCTAATTTGTATTTTCCACACGTTTACAGTTTAAAATCACGTTTGTCGACAATCTTTATTCTTCAAGTTCATAGTATAAACTAATAGATGTTAGAACTATTTGTAGCTTGAGTTCCGGGGGGGGGGGGTACTCCAGATTTCAAGTGACAGGGATGATCGAAGGATTGTTGGGGGTTTAAAATTTTCAATTTCGGGATTGTTTTTTTGGCAAGTATTTTGGGATCAATCTTGTGGTAGCTTGATTTATAGCCAAATTCGTTGTGTCGCGCTGCGCGTTTGCAAACTTCTAATGGGTTTTTCTATTCCGTCAATCATTTGAGTGGGGGTGGAGTTAATGCAAATGACAATGCAAACCACCCTTGGCCTGCAAAAACAAAACTGAGAATGACTCTCGACTTCTCAAGAATAGCGAAGGAAATCGCGACGATGAGTGGACTTTTTGTAGAGGGCAAGAGACAAGAATAAGAATGATCAGAAAAATCTTCGAAGAAAACTAGTCGATTATTGCCCGAAAGCAACGAACCTCGAAACACAGAAACAAACAAAGTGGATCGAGATGCACCAATCACAAGTAAAGATGTGTTTCCTAAGAGGTCCGCTAAGATGATTGACGGAACAGAAAAACCCAAAATTCCTTTGAAGTTTGCAAAACGCGCAGCGCGATACAACGAATTTGGCTATAAGTAGGGATTTTTGGGGGTATTCAAAACTAATGTTTCTATTTTTCGTGTTATGTCATTTTATGCTTCCTAGAAATTTTTATTATGGCTCGGAAATTCGGCATGGGGTTTTTTAGGGGATAAATTTTGGTCCAACGATTTGTTGGGTTTTGTTTGAAGCCCAAGGGATTGTTTTGGATTTTGATTTTTGCCCCCATTTCATCATCCCTGTCACTTGAAATCCGGAGTACCCCCTCTGGGCTAAGACGCTTAATTAAATATACGCCATATGAGAAAAAAATGAAGGGTAGTAAAAATTTATATACTCCTGCCTGTACGGCAATTTTAGGTTTTACAGGATTCCTTGCTCAGCCTCGCTGATTCAGTCACTTGATGTCACGTCACCGGCCTCTTTCATTCTCGCGTAAATTTGATGGTGTTATTCTTATGTTGTTCTTTTTCAGCCACTAATTAATGTTCAGGCATAGCCTGCAAGCTTCTGATGATATTTGAGTAAAGCCGTGAATATAATAAACAATGTAAATTACATGTATGTAGATTATTACAGTTACCGGTAACGTCCAGAGGAGGAGCGAACGTCTTCCCACAATGCATTGCGATTCAAACTACTATAACGTAAAATTCCGGAAATAAGCCCCGGGGCTTATATTTTTCAAAGGCAATTTTTGAGGGGCTTATATTTGGAGGGGCTTATATTCGGAGGCCTATGTACGGAGGGAAATTTGCGTTTCAAAATCGATTGGGCTAGCTTGTAGTGGGAAGGAAATTTACCATTTTTGCTTTGTTTTACTTTGTATTCGAGGGCAAATTCCAAGTACAAGCCTCCCGGAGGGCTTATGTTCGGAGGGGCGATTTAACGGAGGGTTTTTTGCGTTACGATTTTGGGGGTTTATATTTGGAGGAGCTTATACATGGGGGGGCTTATTTTTGGAATTTTACGGTACCCTCTTTTTATGTTCTGAGCTACCTTTTTTTTCTTCAATCAATTTGATGGCAGTTCCAAGTGTTTGAACTTCAATGAATTTCGTGGTACAGCTCCTTTAACTCTTTAATCCCCGATATCCAGTTAAAAATTCTCCAAACTAATCTCCATACATTTCCTTAAAGAACAAGTTGAGAGAATTTGATAACAGATCAAGCCTTTATTCTTTTAGTGGTCATTTTATTAACTCTCATAACCATTTCTCTTGGCAACATATGGATGTTGGTAGGAGAAAATTGATGTTGGTCACTATTGGGACTTAGAGGGTTAAAGAAACATCTAGAGTTAGGCCCAAATATGTAACATTATCATAAAATTTCCGAAGCTTAAGTCGATGAAATCTCATTGTTGACATTGGTAAACAAACTTGACAAAATTAATTCTAGCATCAAAGTCTCAGATTTTAGTCTTGTAGCTTTCGACTGTATCGCACAGTCCTAATCAGCAGTCAACGCTCAATGTTGTCACGGAAATTAGTCAAGTGACAACAAATGATTACAGTACTATGTACTACAGACCACTAATCCTCATCTCTGTTTAGGGTTAGACGCTGACGTCTGTTATGGATGACCTCCTTGTTTTTTTCTTTTAATGTCCCCCATCTCCTGGTCAAGGATCTTGATCCCCTCCCAGTCGATCTCATGGTTGGAAACTGCGGATGCTGTTTGTTGTTGCGGGTGTTCGCCCAGTCTCTTCCCCAGAGCCCTAGATGTCTCTCCTATGCAGTGCTCTCCACAGCCTTTGCATGTAATGTCGTACACCACGCCCGTTTTCTTCTCAGGGGAGGTCTTGTCTGTCGGACGTACCAACTGGGACCTTAAGGTGTTACAAGGTTTGTTGCAAAAGTTGGTACCATGTGATCTCAAGACTCTTCTAAGATGCTCGGAGAGTCCGAGGGCAGGCCCACGGTGATCGATCTAGCAGACGCAGAGGTGTTGCTTTTAGCAGCTTGCCCAACATGTGATAAACAGAGTTCCTGAGTGACCTTGTTTGGCGCTCATTTGAACCAAAGAGCATTAGTTTTCGAAATTGCAAGGGCTTGATTATTATTTTCCCGAAAATTTTTAGATGAAATTTGACTCGTACGCAAAAATAAACTCCCGCAAAAATTTCGCGCCACGCGGTATTACGAAAGTGAGACATTTTTCGATTCCTCTCGCCGACTTTTTTGAATACGATAATTTTAGGTTTCCTTTTTTCTATGAAAAATAGCTTAACCTAGGAATGAAAATGTGAAAATAAAACTTCAGAAAATCGTAGGGAATTTATAGGATAAGCTTCGAAAATTGTACATGAGTGGAACGCTCATCTAGAAATTTTTAGCCGTCCACAAGTAATAGAAAATTGTAGGCAATATTTGCTTCTCCGAACAGATATTTACAGAAAAACAGTCGTTGGGTGCCCCTGATCATTACCAGCGGCATTTTATTTTATTTATTTTTTTATCTCTATCGATTTTGATCCATCTACTATCAACAAACATTGCCCAGAGCTTGCCTTTTGAAATATTCGATAGTAAGATAAACCTTGAAATGTTCTTTTTGCGGCATGGCAGCATTTGCATGAGTTTTGTTGAATAACAATGATATTCACTTTCATCCAAATTTGTTTCGCAGCAATTACTAAGAATACTCCAGAAGAGTATTGGTCACCTTTTCAGATAGTTTTGCCGTAAACCTCTTCCTGATCTACTTCTGCTTCGTAAAGAGAATAGGAAACTGCACGTAGGTTTGTTCTCCGTAAGAAAAATACAATGTAACTACAATAAGAGGCAAATACAAGACTAGGGAAAGGGGTGGGCAAAAGTCCCATCACTTAGTCGCATACTTTCGAAGAAGAAGTATAATATTAAAAACTAACTGGCATAAATTTTTAGTTTAAAAAACAAAAAACACACGCGCACTGCACAATAGCATAACATTTTACTTTAAGTGGAACAATCCACCTGATTTCGACCTCGAGGGCTTGGGAAAATACCATACAGGACACAAAGGGTTTTTTCTTTGTCACTCTTTCCATCTGCCGCAAAGTAACAAGCTTCTTTCTGCTGATTAATGCATAATAAAATTAAATAGGCCTGGTGACAAATTCGTTTATGCTGGTTAAATATCCTTTTAAAATTTTCATTACTGAGCGCACAGCTGATTGCTGAGCGCATGCTCAGTATTACGTAGCAAAATACTGATTTACCGTAAACCGTAAAAAAGTGTGTGTCATAGCACCGATGTATTCCAAAGCAACGTTTCTTCTTAAAATTTGATGTTAGAGTTCTCCTCTGTTTTTCTCGTGCAAAAATTGTGCTTGCCGTGAGTATCTCTAAAAGTAATTAGTTTCTACTTACAGTGTAGTATGAAACGAAACCGGTATTTTATCTCCTCGCTCCGGATATGTATTTGGATATAAAGACAACCATATAGTTTTTCGATGTTTTGTGTAAACCAGTATAATTAATTGTTTCCCGAAGCGGATCTTACATTACTGTAAATTGAGTTTTGTTTGCTTGTAGTCGGAAATATGAACGATTTAAATCTGTGTAGCGAGATATATTTGGCTATGTCAGTTTAATGTTAGCGATGACTTTTTACAGTATAGTTTTTGACTACGTGTGTACCGTGTTATTCTGTCTCGTTGTTTAATTTTCTAGGAACGTTTTCAGGATTAAACAAGGAAAGATGGAAAGAATCAGGCCCTTTTCGGAAGCGCAAGCCTTGTCGATATGATCAGAACTTTCTTTCACTTGGATAAGAAAATCAAGCGAGAGCATTACATGTAATCGCAATGAGATGTGTCATCTACATTATAACTTCTGCAATTGCTTTCCACATTACTTTTCAAGCTTTGTCTACAGCTCATGAAACGGGAAAATCATTTCAAAAGCAGGATGCAAGTATGTTACAAAATATTGCAATTCGTCCATGGACGATCTTGACAGAAATAGACTCTTCTCTTCAACTGCCGTCAACTGCTCAGCACGAAATCTGACAGATTTCCCAACACACTTGCCCAGTACGACTACTGAACTAGTGCTGAGTTACAACAAAATTTCAGAGATAAATATGGAAGAAATGAAAAGTATTCCATATCTCAAAGAACTTTGGGTTGAAGAAAATAACTTTTCTTTTATCAGCGACGGAGTATTTGAAAACAACTTCATGTTAGAATCACTAAATGTGGGAGGTAACCACATGGTTGATCTTTCGCCCGGAATATTTCAAGGTCTGAGGAACCTGATGAAGCTGTATCTTCATCGAAATCGGATTTTTCGATTGAAAAAGAGAACGTTCCAGTATTTATTATCGCTTAGTGAGCTTTATTTGAACGGTAATGAAATTTTTATGATTGAAAAAGAAGCGTTCCATGGTCTAAATCATTTGTCATTACTTGACTTGTCAAATAACAAGCTTAGAAAAATCTCAGGGGAGAGTTTTGGGAGACTTGCATCTCTGCAGAAATTGAATCTTGGCTACAACCAAGTTAACCGCATTCAATACAGATCATTCTTTAATTTGACGAATTTGAAAGCTTTTGTTATCAACAACAACAACTTGACTACAGTTCCGAGAGCTTTAACCTTTCCGAGAGGGGTAGAACACCTTGATCTCAGTGTAAATCCCATTGAGTTCATTCCCATGGAGGCTTTTGCACGACTGCACTTGTTAGAAATCCTAAATCTGAGTTTTTCGAAAGTAAGAGTGTTTCATGGGAATCACCTTAAGAAACTTCTGCCTCGTCTGAGGCTGTTTGTTCACCACAACCCAATGGATTGTACGTGTGACTTGCGATGGCTAAAACAATGGTTTGAAGATGACATATTAAGAAGCAGTGAAATACGCAGCTTGCCCCATGTTAAGTGTGAATATCCTAAGTCGTTGACCGGAAAATCTATCATGACCGTAAACATCGCAGACATGGATTGTTCATGTGAATATTGCCAAAAGTCCTCGGAGTGTTCTTCTGGTAGGAATACATGCAATTGTAATGATGATAGTCGGGCAGGGCACCTGGACACCTGTCGATCTATCGTCGCCAGTAGCAATGCGTCATCCGAACTAATGTGTAGTTTTTCTCAAGGGAAATGCTTTTGCTCCAACATGTCTGAGGTTTGTGAAAACAATGCTTACCTGACATATGCAAACTGTTATTCACCTGATTGTGTGTGCAAACCCGGTTACTACGGCAACGGATTTCTTAACTGTACAGATGTTGACGAGTGCCACCGAGAACATAATCTATGCCATAAGAACGCTTACTGTATAAACACTGAAGGCTCGTATCAATGCGTTTGTCGTAATGGTTACCAAGGTAACGGAACTGTATGTGATTCCATGAAACATAAAACAGTAGTTGCCATAGTAACTACCTCGGTGTCCATGGTGATATTTGTTGTTCTCATTAGCACGCTAGTATTTTGTATTTTTCCCAAACTACGTGCGATTCCCCGAGAAGAAAGGGAATATCCTCCAACTGGCAGAAAGAAAAAGAAGAAACAGTCTACCAAGAGATATGTTGACCTGTATAAAATTCGCCAACTGAGCTTTACTAATTCTGTTTTCAGACAAGGTAAGACTTTCACAAGATTGTAAAGAAAACGTATCAGATTCCGTTACCATTTGCAATTCGGTTTTGCTTCTGAATCTGAAATTGAAGAGCTTCAAAACAGTACATTTGGCAGGTTAGTGTAAATTCCCTCGATTTCGGTGCTTGAAATATGGTTATTAAGAGTAGGGGACGTCGTCTTCGGTATGGTAGTCATCTCAAATTCACACTCACATATGGTAAGGAGGTATCATCCCTTTCGTTACTTGTAAACTGAGCCATAAGCAGTGCGGAAAAAGTCCCCTAAAGGGTATTGTAAGTTATCCCTGAAAAGCCGTGAGGAATTGCCCTGAGGGGAGCGGATGATAAGATGTTTAAAATGTACAATTTCCAATTACAAGAATTGTTTAGAAGTCAAATCACCAGACATTTGAATATTAACTTTTCAGAACTGGAGTCAACGGTCCATGGAGATGAATGGGAAATCCCCCGAAAGAAACTGCGCCTGATCAGAGCCATCGGAGAAGGAGCTTTTGGGGTGGTGATGGAAGGAACTTTAGATACAGGTATGGACCATACGAAACAGCACTGTCAATAAACGATCGATGATTACTCCTGAAGACAGAACTCCAGCCTGTGATTAATGATAGTCAATGCTCTTCAATTAAATGAATTGAGCGCTCTACGAAATACGTTCTACACAGAATACAAGTATATACTATATACATATACTTACTACGGAGTATTGACTTAAAAATACTCTAATGACATATAAAAACTGTTTTAGTCATGCAATCAGTCACCTTGAGTTCATCGAAAGTTTGTTTCTGGGGAGGTCCGCAAACTTTTATTCAGTGTTGTGAAGAACGAATTCAACAATCGCCATCAGAATGTTCTGCATAACAATCGGTTATGTGCGGACGTCTCAGGGGTTAGACTTTCCTAAAATAACTCAGTTTACTGAAATTCACAGATCCAGTCATGTCCATTTCTGCGCCCTAAGATTCTCTTGCTGTTCCATTATTGTTTCTTGCGTAATTCATCGCCTCAAAAGAATTCCTCAGAACTTACCTACTAAGTTTTTATTCTGTTCTCTTGTTTGCTTGTTGCAGATGAAGGCATAACTAGAGTAGCTGTGAAAACTTTGAAACCGGATGCTGATCGCTACGATTACAAGGACTTAATGACTGAGCTGACAATTATGAAACAGGCGGGGAGCCATCCGAACATTGTTAGTCTGTTGGGAGCATGCTCTAAGGAGGGACCGCTGTACTTAGTGATGGAGTTCGTTTCCGGTGGGAACCTTTTGGCCTATCTCAGAAGCAACAGATGTGAAAACCCACATTATATTAACATGTCGTCTTCTCTGAATGAACGACAACTTTTAAAAATCGCTGAAGATGTGGCAAGTGGGATGAATTATCTTAGTAGTTTGAACTTGCTTCACCGAGACTTGGCTGCTAGAAATGTTTTGCTAACGGAAGAAAAAGTAGCCAAAGTCACAGATTTCGGACTTGCACGTGATGTACATACTGAGGGAATTTACACCAAGACCACTACATCCGGTCGATTACCCGTGAAGTGGATGGCTCCCGAGTCCATACGGTTCTACAGTTATACCTCTAAGTCTGACGTCTGGTCGTTTGGAATACTGTTATGGGAAATTATTACGATAGGAGAATGCCCCTACCCAGGTATCCCGGCACGACTGCTTGCAGGAAAGCTGATGTCTGGATATCGCATGGCAAAGCCTTCACAATGTTCTGATGAACTCTATGAAGTCATGAGAGCTTGTTGGCAACTTGACACAGAAGCAAGGCCCACTTTCGCTGAGTTGGCAAATATCTTGCACGGTATTTTAGCTCGGACAGGACGTGCTTACGTTAATTTAGGACTGGAAACATACACTTCCGACACCGATCACATTCAAACAACAGAGGCTGAAATCCATGAATTCAAGGACCAAGAAAGCAGTTTTAAGATAGAGATAGAGGCACCGGAAGTGAATGGAACTGATTTAACACCCATTAATGAGGGACATTTGGACGGACATGTTACTACAAGGCTCTAAATTCAATATTAAAAGTAAACTTAAGAAGATGTTCGTTTCCTAGTCTGAGACCAAGCTCTCCGGGGCTCTCTGGCGGGGGTCGGGAAAGGGAAGGAGATCGAGCTTGCAACTACGTCTCTGGAATTTGAATTCGCCAATCAGCGCAAACATTGAAATACACGTGCCAAGGGTAATGACGTTATTACTAATGTCATCTCCGCCAATCCGCATTTCGCATCGACTTTTTCAAAGCAGATATTCAATTTCCAGAGACGTAGTTGCAAGCTCTAGAGCTCCTGCTTCCTTTTCCTGCCCTGCCGCTAGTCTCCCTCGCAGCCGTTTTTTGATGCCATAAGGGGGAGCGTTGCGTGACATCCAAGAAAACGGCTGCGAGGGAGACTACCCTGCCGCTAGAGCGTCCCGGAGAGCTTGCTCACAGACTATTCGTTTTCATACTGATTCAATATCAATATCAAGAGCTGACGGTTGCTTTTTTGAAAAGAGTCGAGCTAAATGACAATAATTCGAGTGTGTACATCGGTATGTGAATGTTTCTTCGTACAAATCGCGTCTGATTGGACATTCTAGTCAGTGTTTAGAGTAAGTTAACTCTTTTATGAATAGTAAGGCAGTTTCGACAATCTTTGGAAATGCTAAAATACCTAAATACGCGTTTTTTTCTTTTGTAAAAACTAAATTATTTTGCGCGAACGGTTATAGAAGACACAGAACAAGGAATATTCAAACAATAAAACAATTATAAGTTTCGGTTTTTGTGCAGGTTGTGATATCCAGAATAATCAAGGTCTCGGTAAGTGTTATCAGCCTCAACCTTCGACTCGGCTGAACAATACCGAGCCCTTGATTATTCCAGCATGTCCAGTTATCACAAAAACCTCATCCAATAATTGTTTGGTATAGGATACCAAACAAGTTTTAAATGTTACCAATTAGAATAAACAGGGACCGCGGAGCAAGGTGAAAAGTGGGAGGGCTGACAATTGAAAATACTTTTTTCATATTGAAAATCGAAAAAAGGAATAAAATCATAGTATTTGATTTGTTTCATCTCGCGTGAGTGTCAGCGAGATCTCGTATGTATTTATGTAGAGTATAGAAAATACTACACTGAAGTGATCTGAAAAATGTCTGACTATGGCCGTTCACTGTTCAAGTAATGTAATTCTTCTTGCCATCGAATTTTTCCTTGATTCGAAAGGAGAAAGACAAATATAAAACTTTTATCAACTCAAAACAACTACTCACCTTCGTTTGGCTTGAAAAGCTAGTAATTTTCTTCATTTCGTCTGATAAAAAAAAAAAACTCTGCCGGAGCAGGAAGTACAAAACGCGCTGCCGAACGAAGCGAAGGGGTGGCCAAGGCATAGCGTTTGATCAAGGGGCAAGTCGGCCCCAGGGCACAATTACCGCGAAAAGCACAGGAGCCCCACAAAATGCCTGGCGTTTGAAATCAAAGAAAATACAGAGAATATAGCGAAATATAGACGGAAAAAGACTTGTTTCAAGTCTTTTTTTTATTTTAATTATTTTTCTTTTTAGCGCAAAATGTGGGGGCGGTGGCGCAAAAAAGTGGTGGGGCCGCGGCCCTACCAGCCCCTCCCCCTCCGCGGTCCCTGATAAAGTCATGGTACGTTGCAACAACTTCTACCAACCAGCGGTTCATGCTGCATATTAACGATTGTCTTTATTTGTAAATCATCGAACTTTTACAGTAATGGGCTTGGTCTTGACTTTTAACATTGTACTGATCTAACTAGTAACTGATAAAAGGTGATAGCAATGACAATTCAGGACGATCGTACTTGTTAACTGAAGGCATAGTTTTAGTGAGCTTGAAAATCGCAAGAATGAAAAAAAAAATATATGTTTTAAAAAGAGAGCTGTGTCACCATGCATTTTTGGCATAACTACAATCCCTAAAAACACGCTTGCCTAAAATATAAAAGAATACATTTGTCTTTCGAAAAATAGGATGTAAAAAGATGTCGCTAATTTTTCAAGTTTAACTCCTCTGTTGTAAAAATATCAACCAAAAAAAGAACAAAAACTTATGATGCTTTCTTTCCCTTTTGTTCTGGTGGAAAAAAATCATTTGATAACTTTCCTATAGGCTTTAGGAAAAACTTATGCTAGTTTTAATTCGAACTCAGTAGTTTTCACCGAACTCATCTTTGCATTGGCTACATGTTTTCTGTTATTTTTTCGGCTAATACGTTTTCATGCAAATGTTGGTTCAGTTATATTGGCGATAAATGAATATAAAAGTAATATTATGAAAACATGTCAACTATTATATAACATTTTACTAATAGAAGCAATAATCATCCAAACTCCTTGTAAAAAAAAAATGTTTTGATAGGCCTTCAGGTGTAATATATTCCATCGTCACAGTGTTATACGCTGGTAAGCCGGGCGTGGTGGCAAAATAAGCTTTTATTGATCTTTAAGCACCAGGCTTTAGCATTTCCGTTATTTGTCCATCTTTTTAAGAACTTTCTACTTTAAGCTTCGGTCTCTTCGAATCTCTAACTCCAAGCTAGGTGACGGCAATCAAATCAATAGGCTCGATTACCAGCCACTGTTCGGAAATGAGCTCGAGCCCATCAAGTCAAACGCTGACCAAAAGAAGCTGAGGCTCTCAGGGCATACAGCGAAAAAAATGTTACTAAACTGAGGTGGTCTGCTCATGCGCATTACCAGAGCTTTCCTCCACATGCCCATGAAATCTTTCGTCACTTACAGTGATGTTCACGTAAGACCTCGCCGATTCCGACAGCATCTCTGAAAGTATGTGGCACAGTTCGGAAAAGTTCGGCCTAGCCTCGGGATTCATGTCCCAGCACGACATCATCAAGTTATAAAGCTCTTCGGAACAGTGCGCTGGTTTAGACATACGATATCCGCACAGGAGCTTCGTTAAGAGAAGATTTACCGGGACACATGGATATGGAGAGCCCCCGATGGTGACGATTTCCCATAGGAGAACCCCGAATGACCAGACATCAGACATGGTAGTATATACTTGATCCTGAATAGATTCTGGAGCCATCCATTTGATTGGCAGTCTTCCTCCACCGGTTTTCACGTATTGTCCATCGCCGTAAATATCTCGCGCCAAACCAAAATCAGCAACTTTAGCCTGGTGTTCTTCAGTAAGAAGAATGTTTCTAGCAGCAAGATCTCGATGGACGAATTTTTTATTGGCGATGTGACTCATTCCCCGTGCACAGTCCAGCGCAATCTTCAGCAGGTCACGGGAACTGAGCGTAGACGTGACGTTGACGTAGGTCTCATCGTCTGGCCTACTGGCCCTGAGATAATCAAGTAAATTGCCGCCTGATACGTACTCGGTAATGATGTACAGCGGTCCTGGTGTGGTGCACGTGCCCACCAGGCTGACGATATGTGGATGCTGACCAATCTCTTTCATCATTTCCATCTCCTGCAAAAGATCTTTGATGTCGAAACGATCTGCATTTTCTTTGATCGTTTTCACGGCAACCTTCAGCGGACCCTCCTCTGCAACAAAAAACAAACGTCCGTTTGTTTCAAATATTTTGCTTTGTTGCTTCAAACCGAAGATCACTGACTACAGTACACCAGCCTTTAAAAAGATATTGTAAATGAATGGGTGGATGAATGAATTAATGAAACTGATGAATGAACGAAAGCTGTGGTAACAAACACATGAGTAGAGCAATTTCGATGCATCGAAATTCATACTTGGCTTCGAAGCCGTAGGGGAATAAAAGCAAAAGAAGTCATATTGAGGGTAAGCAATGAATAATTCATTTCTTTTGTTTTATTCTCCTAGGCCTCGGAGCCAAGTATCAATTTTAATATATCGAAACTGGTCTATTTAGAAGGTAATTGACTAACGCCTCTGAATGAGTGAATGAAGAGGTGGAGAAATAGGTAGACTCTTTTTCTACCGTTGACCGCAAGAAATGATCCCAGTGTACTAAGTAAGAACTTTCAACCAATTGTCTGAATCTAACTGTAGGCGGCGCGGCTACGCACCAATCTCAGCACCCATTCTCTCTCTCATACACCCATACACACCCCTCCCTCCTTTACAAGAGCGTTTCTCGGAGTCTAACCCCCTCCCCATACTTACCAGTCATGAGCGTCCCTTCCAATACCAGACCAAACTGTCCTTCACCAATTTTGTGACCAATAATGAGAACATCACGTGGAATTTCCCATTCATCTTTGATATCAGCAGTGCAACTCGTAAACGACTGCAAACCGCTTCCTGCAAGGAAAAGAGACGTTAATGATGATTCTTTAAAATGAAAATTGAGGGTGGTAAAATCAAGGCAACTACTATCATGGTCTGGAAGTGGGGTCCGGATCACGCCGCATTCACGCTCCTTCTCACGAGAATCCCACACCCTGATATCCCAGTATTGCATCCCGTGCAAAGATTTGGCGAATCCCGCTTTCCGAGAAGTGGTCAAATCCCGTATACCGTCTAGAAATTTTGCGTTTTCCCGAATCCCGCTCTAAATTTCGGTAAAAAATCTTGGATCCCGAGAAGACCCTTCTAGACCCTGTTATATCATAAACTTATTTTTCCCCGGGGGGAGGAGGGGCTCCCATATGAAAGGGGCCTG